CATTCAAACATAATGATTTCCTCCTGCTTTTAGTTCAGTTCATTCAAGGCCTACAAGTAGTTAAAGCAAAATGTAAATACAGTAAATACCAGAACCCCAAAAGGAGAACTATTACATATATTTTAGTTTTTGGCCAAGCCGAACAATGTTAAAAGAGGCTATATTTGAACAGATATGCATCTCTAGTTCTTATTCTGCATCTCCTAGCTCTTTTTTTTCTATATATATGCATATCTATATATACATTATATGTGTGTGTGCGTATGTGTATATATATAAAATGTCACCATGAGCCTAAAAGACAAAAATATACCCTTATTCTTCCCGTGTGATTTTGAAGGGTGGTTTTTACCCTTTTATCCCTCTCGATAGATATAAAGCATTGGCTAAACACAACAAATGTGTTCTGAAGCCTTTTCCAAATTCCTGTTCATGGTTGGAAAAGAACTGATTGCTGCGGCTTACTGTGAGCTTGCCATGAAAAATTTCTGAAGCTCCGGGGATGAATTTTACATAACTCTTTGCTTCATTGTTGCGGAAGCAGGTTATTTTGTCACTATTATTCCAGATTTGTCCCGAGTGTTACGCTGCTTATTCCCAGGAGGTATCCTAGGGCAGGCTACGCTGTAGAGCTAGTAAATGTGTACAAGCAATAGGCATTTTTTAAAATGTAAATACAGTGAGCCGGTGCATTTGTAGCGGGGGGTGTGTTTGTATGTGTACACACAACTGCTGTCTACTCCAGCTCAGCACAAAAAGCTGGGTAAAGCTCATGAGAGTTTGTCTGAGGTTTTGGGGAGAAGGAAGGGGGTTTGTATCAACCTCCGTCTCTTCTGCAGTCCCACAGTTTCTTTTCAGCTGCAGGGTCTAACGCTTTTTGTTGTTTGTTTTTTTTTTTTTTTCAGTTTGGCCATTCTCCTACAATCTGGATTAATTCTGTTTTACAGTTCGAAATAATTAATTTTGCTTCCATTTTGCTGTGTTTTGGGTTATTCAGTCACCTCCTGCTGCAGTGGCTGGTAATTTTTTGACTCTCACGCAGTGAACAACACAATGATCGTAATAACAGTGTTATACAACACTTTTTGCCCATATGTATCAAACCTCTGACAAAAGTGATTAGATTTCATTGTTGCCATCTTTCTTGATGGAAAGCACAAAAAATTTAAGGGAACTCTCATCTGACAGCAAATGAGCTACACGCAGAGGTGGTCTGCGACTTTGCCAAAATGCTTTTGAGTTTCTGTATTTTGCTGCCAACGGTTTGTGCCCATCTCAGCTGCTCAGTGACACACAGGAGCCGTGGTTTGCTTTTTTGACCCAGCCCAGGAGGTGAAATCCCACCTATGGACCATGGCTCCTGCTTAAATATGAGTGTTTGACCCCTGTTTCCTGTGAAGAACAACAGCATCTCAGGTTCCTTGAGGTGCTATTCCGCGTCAGAGGCTGAAATGATATACACAGGCATTCTGCGAAAGTTTCCTTCCAGGATTTCATACACAGTGTTTTGCTCCTGATCACAGCCAGAAGCTAACACTGATCTAATATCATTGCAATTGGCTTTTATATGCTTTTCTCTGTGAATTTGTCCAGCATAAACTTCTAGCATCCACACAATGTCTGCAGGCAAAAAAAAAATCTGCAGATTGTTTACACGCTGGGTAAAGAAATATTGCCTTTTGTTCTGACCTGCTGGATTCATCTAATTGCCTTCCTCATGCTCCTATCTGGTCTCCCAGCCAGTGCATTAAACATATGACTGATTTTAAGGGCACAGATTGATTCAAGGTACAAAAATCAGAGTTTCTTATGAAGAATTTGTTTTTTCGCTTACCCAGGTGTTTAGCACTGTTTCATTCTTTCTGGAGCCAAATGTGGACTGAGCTGCGTGCTTTCCATTGGAAATGCAATTATTAAAGCTTAGGAGTGCTGGGGTCCAAGAATTCATTTCACTCAGTCATCTGCACTTCTAAACATATGGTAATTGCTGTTCTTTGTGTATGAAATGAGAGAAAATAGAACAAATTAGAGAAATGTTACCTTCTGCAGATAGAGTATTTCTGAGGATAAGGTAGTTTTAAAGGTATAACATCATTAGCAGTATTGGTTTTTTAATCCTTGTTTGCATCTTGGCACAGTCACAGGGCACATTTCCTACGTTTTGTACATTTATTTTAAACATAATTAGAATAAACTTCTTTTCTTTTTGTACAGATTACTGGCTTTGTAGGCTGTGTAGGTGTTTTTCAAACGCACACACCATGCTTACTTAAAAGTAATTGCATTTTGAGATAGGTTATATATTATGCCCTTCCTATCAAGGTATGGCCATGCGTTACAAACTGCCTTTCTACAGATTTCCAGAGTGGCATTTTATTATTGCAGATCATTTTAGGCAACTTCCTGAGAAAGTAAAACGTCTGCTCATAGAACTGCCTTTTCAGACAGAAGCGTAACGGAGCGCCTTGGGACAGCAACAACTAAAAGGATTAGCCATTAGGAGGGCTCTCATGTCACCTCTATCTTTAAAGACATCCTGATGGTTTGCTGGGGCAGTAATTCTGGGCAGCATTTCTTGGATGTGCTGAGGGCTGTGGTTCCTGCCGTGCCAGGGCTGACAGCAGGTGACACCTACTAACCTCACACCATGGCTATGCACTCTCCCTGCCGCTTCTGCTCCTGCTGATTTTTTGGTAGGGACGCCGTTGCCTAGTTCCCATCAATAGCAGAAGTTGTTCCAGGGGGAATCAGGCATGGGAAGTGTTCGGGTGGCTCGAAGGAAGAAGCAAGAGAGGCTATTCATCATTCAATAACGTTGAAAAGGTGGTTGCTGTAGAAACCTCTTCAGGTCTAGCAAATGTCGTGAGTCGGATTGTACCCACCGCAGCGCCACAGATGAGATTGGAGATGCTCCCGCGCGCAGGGAGCCTGGGCGCCCCGCGTCCCTCTCTGGAGACACCGGAGAGCTCCTGGCTGTCTGCCTGATGCTGGGAGCAGCTGTCACCATCACCGTCCCCCCATGCAGAGGGTGCTGCACAGCCACCACAGCCCCACTCATATTCACAGGGACCGCTTCGTCCATCAGGGCGCAGTCCCCGGTGCTTTCCTCTGGGTCTCATGCTCATAGCTCTATCCGAAAGCTGGCTCCAGCAGCTCCGATGGAGAAGGCGTGAGGGATAAAGCGTGACTGAATGTGTTTTAGCTTGGGCTGGCAGCAGCAGCCTGGGGCTGTACGGGGAGCACAGGTACCACCTGAAAGAGATCAGATTTATTCTCCTCTGGAGCATTCACTGAGGCATCATGAGAGATACAGCAGACCAGAGGGGTGCTTAGCTGGAGCTCTGAGCTCAACTGCGGGCTGGTGGCAATGGTGTCCTGAGCTATAGCAAAGGGCAAACAAGAGCAGGAGGCACAGAACTGGATCATAGCTTCATGAAGGGGCTGAGTCATAATTTAACCAAGTTCGATTCATTTGTAGAGCAGAGGTGCCTTTTAAAGTAAAGACGCTCCAGCCACAAAGTGCTTTACTTATTCCCTTTGATAAGGACCTCCTAAATGCTTTCTGCTTTCAATTTCACTCCACTTACAGTCCATCTAGTAGGAGTGGTGCAAACGTGCTGGAATAAATGGTTTCTGTCCCCGGAGCTGAGGTCTTGTTGTGTGGGTTTCGGGAGTTACCTTGCACTTCTGTGGCTTTCCCACCGGTAAAATGAGCTGATGTGTCTGTCTCGCTCTGCCCTGCTCTTTGTGAAGGGTTTCTGGGCTTCGCTTTGTAATTATTTGTTCTCGTTCAGTTCCTCGTGGGTTTCTGCATGTAAGGTATCCTGGGTATCTCGTGGCTGGGTAATTTGTTTCAAAATATGCTTTCTGAGACTAACGTTTCTCCCTTTCCATTCGAGATCAGTGGGATGGAGCTGTACTGTTCTTAATATAATGTTGATTCTGCAGAGTGATCTTTCTGATCCTTGGGGTAAACTTCAAGATTGCTTTAGGTATCCACGCTCTGAATGAAGACACAAGAATATCTCGTTATTCAACTATTATGAAGTCTCTCTTGTTTTCAGCTGCTATAGATACTGTTGATTTGTTTTGATAAGTGTGTTAGAATCCCCGAGCTTGGCAGGACACGTTATTGATCTCACGCAACGCATTGAGGGCATTGACATGGGAGTATCATTCACAAATCAATTTTCTCTGAGCTTTAATTTAAATACTGGTGCCCCCTGAGGATCTTTCTGGGTCACTCTTACTCTCAAGCTGTACTTCAGCGCTGAGTAAAAAGATTAATAAATGCAGGCACCCAAATTAGCTGCGTGCCAGCTGCTGCCAGATATAGCTAGCTGGTCCGTTCCATTTGCTGGCGTACTTGTTTCTGTAAAGAATAATACTCGGCTCTGTCTACCTTCAAAAGAGTTCTCAAATTTCAGCCTCTCAGTCCCAGCTGCTCTGGAAGGAGGCGAGTATTCCCCTGTTATTAAAGCACGCTGCCTGGGAAGAATATTTAAGGTGAAGTAGTGTCACTTAGCTGGTCGTTAGACCACAGGAAAACCATCCGCTGCCTTTCTCCTCAGCAGACAGACACTGAGAAGTAGATGTCAAGAGAGCTTTGGAAAGGATCTGAGTGAAGTTAAAGCCACATAGTGCTATGCAATCCACGAAAAGAATGTGATGAGGCAACTATAAATGAACGTAATATTTCATTTCATAAAGATGTGGGGGAAAGGTTAAAGAAGGAGCAGAGCTAGACCGGTCATTTGGAGGCACTGCCGAATTAACATTCCTTTGCCTTTAGCTACTGGTCATGGAAGACAGATGTGTGGGAACCGGGTATGGGTTTATGGAGTGTGCGGAGAGGTTTCTTTGTTCACTCCTCATGCACGTGCCCCTTACTGGTATCGTAGCCTTAAAATATCCTGACGGTTTCTCAGAAATGATGGCCTAGCTTCCCAAATTATTTCCTTTTCTTTTTTCCTTTCATTTCTTTTCTCTCTATGTTTCAGATTATGCTTGGCCTTTGCCTAAACAGTTGTGCCCTATATGGATTTCCCTAGATGTGCTCTTTTCAACTGCATCTATTATGCATCTCTGTGCCATCTCTCTTGATCGGTATGTAGCAATACGCAATCCCATTGAGCACAGCCGCTTCAATTCCCGCACCAAGGCTATTATGAAAATTGCTGCAGTTTGGACCATATCCATAGGTAAGCAATGCGGCTCACGATCTTAACTGTGTCTTAATGAATAATAGTGTTACTCCAATTTTCATTTAGGATTTTTAAGAGGATACTCAAATTAATGCACCTGGCCTGCATGCCTGAGTATAACAAATGGTTACTGGGAAGTAGTTTTTCATTGCGGTTGGTCAGTGACCAAAATAAGTAGTCATTTTTCAGAATAGTGCAGCTTCCAATGCTTCTGTCTACGCATCGATATGCCAATAATGACGGTAACGCAGACAAATGGTACCATAAAACTACTGCATAAACAAAGCCGAAAACGGCGTTAGCAAAGGCTCTGGAAGGCAAACCCCGGCAGTACTGCTGACAGGTCTAGGTTGCAGTTGCTGCAGTTAAACTGGCTCAAATTCGGGTAGCAGGTTAAGGGAAGCAGCGCAAGTCTGGAGGCAGGCGAACGGCGGGGTTTGCGTCGCTCGTGCGCAGGCTTTGTCGCATGTGTGACCCCCCGCCACGGTGGGAGTGCTGCCGGGGCTGAGGTGTCAGGGCTGAAAGGACAGCGAAGGAGGAGTAGACACAAAGGAAGATACTGTTGTGTCACTGTGATAAAAAGCCATAAATGAAGCAGCAGTAAAATAAGGAAGAAAAGGAAAAACGATAGCAAGATGACTCTGTAATATCCGGAGTTATGTGAAGGAAAACATTTTTGGGGGATTTCTTTCAATGTGCTTTATAAAAGGAGACATTTGGGGCAGGGTCAGAAGAACTGTATGCCCGCTTCCCTCTGCCGTGTTGCCTTTTTTGGTTGAATAAAATGCAGTCTTACAAAGATTTAACATTTAACTTTTCCTTTATAAAGCGGTCGTCGCTTTCAGCGCTGCACTGCGAGGCAAAGCATGTCTCAGGTGCTTGAACTTCTCTCGGGTTTTGCCTGCTTTAGAAGTGGAATACAATTCCGGATGTCGGGGTGCTGCAGGGGCGGAAGCTTGCCATGGGAAAAGCCTATGGAAAAAAAGCAAAAAATAAAAAATAAAACGTACCTTCTCTTGTCATGAATATAACAAGAATATCTATTAGAAACAAATTTTCATGTGCCACAGGCCTGCTATGGTTCCTCTAGGCAATACAATCCGCAGTAAAACTGGGTTGGGTTTAATCAATTCATTTAAGGTTTTTTTGTTTGGTTGTTGTTTTTTTTTAAATTATTATTTTAAATTCTCTGTGCTGCCTGTGTGGCATAGGAAGGAAAACCACTGAATTCAGCGCGTAAGCAGGCTGGTGCAGGATGCTTGGGCTCAACTCGCATGGGCGGTTCGCAGCGGGCGCAGGATGAGTGCCCCACGGTGCCACGCGGGCGCGCAGCACTGTCCCCCCCAGCACAGCCGTGTAAAGCTGTCAGCGGCCTTAAGCCACACATTGCAAAACTTGGGCAATAAAACCCTCTGGCTTCTGTTTCTGGAGCTAACTCGCAGATTTTTGCCCGTGCTGCCTTACGCGTTGCAGACGTAGACTCTTGCTGGAGTTGTCTTGCCCAGGGAATGGGCTCAGGACGAGGAAAATAGGAACATTATGGGCTCAACCGTCCCCCAAGAACAAAAGTACCCGAGCCAGGATAGGCAAGGTGACTTTGTGCTGCTGTAGAGTGCAAACACCTCACCCCTGCCCAACGTTCTCGGCTGGTGTTTAACTAGTCTGCATTTATAATAGGGTGTGAAAGAGGTGAAATGATGAACACTAAAAGAAATAGCTGGGAAAGGAGATGGAAGGGCACTTTTCCTTTGCAGGCACGTGGCTCGTCAACCGCAGTAAGGCAATGGGTGCTGCATTTGTTCCCCAGCACCCAAAAGTCTTTAGGAAGAAGCTGTGAGCGGTTGCTCAGCGGGATGTCGGCAGTGCACAGTGCTTCGGGGGACGGGTGGCAGCGGTGCCTGCGTGCCCTCCTCTGCCGGGACCAGAGCTGGGAGGGCATACAGCATCGCTGGGCTCTGTCTATGCTCTGTCCATCCTCTTTGATGCAGATACTGCTGGCCCAGGGGAGTCTTTGCTTGCATCACTTTTTCTGAAGATACAGGCAGAATCGATACTCCCCAGAGAGTCTGTTCAGGGCACTGAAGTGCTGTTGGATTTCCACCCTTCCCAGTGCATGCAATAGGGCTTACCCATTTACTCGGGCTTGCTCTGGAAGGTTGTGTTAAATGGAGAAAGAAAAGGACTTTTGGCATGTATCTAGCTTATTTTAGCATAACTATTTTTACTTCATAAATGAATTTAGAAATGCAGCAGACAAAGGAATAAACTGAACATGTGCTGAAAGAGAACTCACCCAAAGTGTGTTGTTGCTGTCTGCCGGCTCTTACCTACTTGTCATGCATTTCTGTACATGATGAAGTATCAAACTCAAAGCAGCACTTAAATGCAGGCTGGGCTGTTGGCATTTCCTACATCCTGCTTCAGTTGGACTGCAGAAAATGTTACGTGCATCCCATGTAAAGAATCCTGAATTCAGTTCCTGAATCAGAATTTAAAATAGGAAGTAAAAAGCATGTAATTTATCTTAATTTAGTAGCTTTTGCGTTCCATTTTCCTGAAATGTTAATGCTGACAGCAAAATATATAATAGAGGTTCTTTGCTCATTGAGCTATGAATTTGGCAGGTTGCACAAGCCTAAACCTATGATTAAGTTTTTGAGCAGGGGAGCGTAACAGAGTCCTCCTGTCTGTTGCCATTGGCTTTACGAATAGGTCTTTTCCAAAGCCCCCTTCATTCCAGATTAAAGTACATCCCCGCCAGTTGTCTTGTTTTTCAGCAAAAGCAACCTGAGCAAGACTCTTCACGTTTAGTTAGAGAAAAAGTGGGTGCTGTGAAGTGCCATGAGGTTTTGCAATAGATAGTACCATGCTGAGGCTGGAAATGGAAATGGCGGGAACCGAAACATCCGCACAATTAAAAATGAAAATAAATCACAGATGTGCGCTTGCTGGCAGGATCTTGATGTTGTTTCAAGACTTCAGAGTTGCACAGTTGCAAGTGCAAAGGTTTTCACTAGTAACGTGTGGGCTTGACCATATCAGGGACCCCCTGTACTCTGCTCCGAGGAAGGTGGCCTTGGGCCACCCCGGCCAAGAGAGGAGGTCCCCACACATCTCTCAGCAGGAGCGATGAGGAGCCAGTCAAATGCTAAATGCACACCATCTAATACAGGAGAAAGTGTTAACTGGGTGATATTAATATAAAAGAAATATCACTTTGGGAGTGTGAATGAAAGAGCTGCAGTGATGTGGAAGGGTGCACACACATTGCTTCTGATGTGAAAAAAAAGTAAAACATTTTAATTCTGAAGCTCCTCGTGGCCTGGCTGAGTGCCTGCCAGCCCAAAATGGGGTTTCCTCTGCTTCCCAGAAAGTTCAAGGTTTGGTCATTTACTAGAAAGTGCCAAAATTGCACACGCTACCAGTTTCCCAGCTCACAGTTTTACATCTGTAGTAACAGTGTAAATTCAATTTACTTGATAAGTGACTTAAGGCCATCCCTTAAATTCTGCTCTTTGTATTGCTACCATAAGCAGACCCCATGTCTTTTGTTTGTTTGTTTGAAAAAAGAATAAGTAACTAAAAAAGGAAATGCACTGTTGAATTATGGTAATACCGTGATATGTGTTGTGTTAAAATTGGACTTTTTTCTTTCCATTCTCTCTCTGACTCACTAATGATATTATAATTTTGATTTCAGGTAGCTATCCGGGGTTTGTATATATAATAAACCATTCAACTTTAAAAAGGAATTTTACATCCCCATTTAACTTCCGTACTACTCCATTGTTTTATTGAGATCTATTTGTAGACCTGTGAAGGACATGTACTGCAAGGAGCGGTAAATACTCATCTCAGATTAAGTGATCTGATGTCTAACAGCTTTTTGTTTCTGCCCCGAGTGTGCCTCTCTCGCAGAGGCTGAGCAGGCCCATGCATGCAAGCTGTCCTAACAATGTCCTGAAAGACCCTCCAGGTATCAATTAAGCCTTCCCCTATCCCACTGGGGAGAATCCCACTGGGAAATGATACTCAGTTTGAGGAATGTGCTTGGAGTGGCACCGCTGATACTCAAAAGAATTGTAGTCTCCTTACAGGCTGAGAGCAGGTTGTGTGTGGAGGTAAAGGGGGACTGGAAGAATTCACGTAGCCGCCCTCAAGTCATGCGTTGAGAGCACAGTTAGGGGTTTGGTTTGCCTTCCTGCCCATAGCTGTGTCTCTGGGATCAGTGACTTTCTCAGCCTGCTGATGAGACACGCTTGGTCCTGAGCACCCTCTGTTCGGTGCTGGGCAGCAGTTGCTCCGGAGAAACTGGGCTTTGGGACAGGAGCACGGACCCACGAGTTTCTTTGCAGGCTTCAGGCCCTGGTAAGCAAACCAACCTTTGGACACGTTTCGTGGAAAAAAAAGGGCAAAGATACTGCTAATGGAGTTACGGGGATTTTGCTCAAACCTTTCCCCCTAGGCAGGCTGGTTCTCTTTGTGGCTCATCCTGTGGAGACAAGGAAGCAGTGCTGAGGCAACTATCGCAGGCAAAGGAAAAATTAGCCAGGCAGCCATTACCTCCTGGAAAAGTGTACAAATTCGTGACTACAGGCACTGCTTTGGTAGAAGGACTTTTGCTGAGAAAAATGGTTGCACGTGAGTAAAGCCTAAGAGAGGGTGGCGTTAGTTTCTCTCCAGATTTGGGAGAAATTTGTATTCCTGTATTTTTGCCTTTTTGTGTTCGACATTTAATGTCTGACAGTGTATGTTTGACTGCAGTTCTTCCCTCGTGAGCATGAGGGTCATAGTGGATAATTTGCGTAGGCAGAGGTGCTGCGGTGGTGGCAATCCTGATAGTTTTTCTTAGCCTCAAGTGAGCACAAAGGTGGCATTAGCATTGCAAGCCAGGCTATGACTTGCTTCTGGTGGAGCAGTAGAGCAGGTTTGTGCTCATAAAACTTTTTTGGGCCTGTCTTCTGGTCGTGGGTGAGCCAGAAACCCTTGCTTTATGG